ATCAGCAGCAGGGATGGGAGTGAGAGGCACTAATAGAGGGGAAATTAAATACCCTCCCAGCAGCCAGCACTAGGTGGAGACTGATTGCTGGGATCTGCTAGCTGCTGGAAGATGCCTGCTAATGGTCACAAATTAAAACCCTCTGCCCAGGGAACCCTAGTGCCTCCAGAAGGTGATCCAGATCCTGACAATAGCTCAGGGAAGGCTCCTTCTTTACGTGAAAAACTCCAGTAAGCAGGGCAGAGATGTGGAGCCAATGCAGACTGCAAGCACATCCTCTGCCAATTCAAGAAGAAGAAACCCTACCCTTGATAACAGAAGCCATTCTCTGATAACATACAGTGTACAGTGCTGTCAAACATTATAGGCAGGTGTGAAGAGATTTACAAATTTACAAAATTTCAAGTTTTCAAACAGAATAAAAATCAAAAACAAATCAATATTTGGTGTGAGTACACTTTGGCTTCAAATCAGCATGAGTTCAATTCATCAAGCTCTTTTAAAGAAGCACAAAGAAACGTGCAACGCTGAGGACCATACACGCAGTGGCTGGCCGAGGAAACTTAATGTAGCACATGAAAGACAAATCATGCTTACTTCCCTTTGACATCAGAAGATGGCCAGCAGTGCCATCAGCACAGAACTGGTGGAAAACAGTGGGACCCAGTACACCCATCTACTGTCTGGAAAAGTCTGACCAGAAGTGGTCTAAATGAGACAGAATTGTGGCCAAAAAAGCCATACCTCCAACATGGAAGCAAGGTTAAGCAACTCAACTATGCTTGAAAATATATGAATTGGGGTGCAGAGAAATGGCAGCAGGTGCTCTGGACTGTTGAGCAGGGGCGGACTGACCATTTGGAAACTCGGGCACTGCCCAAGGTCCCGGGGTCAGTAGGGGGCCCCATTAGATGCCTGCGGGTACCTTTTTCATAGGCTTTTTTGAGTTTGGGCAAGGACACAGGGGCCCCATGATCACTTTTGCCTGGGGGCCCCATGAGTTGTCAGTCCGCCCCTGATGTTGAGTCAAAGTTTGAAATATTCAGCTGTATCAGGAGGCAGTTTGTTCACCAAAGGGCTGGGAAGAGGTACAAAAATGAGTGTCAGCAGGCAACAGTGAAGCATGGTGAAGGTTCCTTGCAAGTTTGGGGTTGTTCCTCTGCAAATGGACTTAGTTACATGGTTAGTCTGTCTGGAAAAAGACAAAAGTCCATCCAGTTCAACCATAAAAAATTATAATCCTATACCCACCATTGATCCAGAGGAAGGCAAAAAAACCCCAGCAAAACATGATCCAATTTGCTCCTGCTGGGAAAAAAATCCTTCCTGATCCCCCGAGAGACAATCGGATATTCCCTGGATCAACTTTACCTATAAATGTTAGTATCCAGTTTATATAGTTACATAGTTAGTCTGGCTGAAAAAAGACAAACGTCCATCCAGTGTAGCTGTCTAGGTCCCTATTAGGGAGATTTCCTCTTGTTTCGTGTTTTTCAACCGTGAAAAGGCCTGGAGAGAATCCAGGCCTTTTTTAAGGAAATCCGCTGAGCTGGCCAGAACCAACTCTTGAGGGAGTCTATTCTACATTTTCACAGCTATTACTGTGAAGAAACCTTTCCATATTTGGAGATTAAATTTATTTTCCTCCAGACTTAAAGAGTGAGCCTTGTCCTCTGTGATGACCTTAGGGTGAATAACTCTACACCGAGTTCACTATATGAACCCCTGATGTATTTATACAGTACATGTTGCTCACTTGGAAATTTGATCAGGCTCAATTGTGTCCTCAATGCTGAGAAACACAGGCAGATACAGTACTTATCCATCATACCATACCATCAGGGAAGTGTGTGTTTGTTTAATTCTGCAGCAGGACAACAACTCCAACATACATTATTCAGTATAAAGAAGAACAAAGAGTCTTGGAAGTGATGGTTTGGCCCCCAGAAAGCCCTGATCTCAGCATCATGGAATCTGTCTGAAATTACATGAAGAGACAGAAGGATTTGAGGCAGCTGACATCCACCGAAGATCTGTAGTTAGTTCTCCAAGATGTTTAGAACAACCTACCTGCTGAGTTCCTTCAAAAACTGTGTGCAAGTCTACCTAGAAGAATTGATGCTGGTTTGAAGGCAATAGGTGGTCACAGCAAATATTGATTTGCTTTGAATTTCCCTTCTGTTTATTTACTTTAATTTGGTTACAGAGTTGCATGACCGCGCAATTGTCATTCAAAATGTGCGAGCGCTGAAACCTGAAAATTGGCCTGGGCAGGAAGGGGGTAAAAGTGACCGGTATTGAAGTGGGTAATAACATTTTTCTGAAAGTAATCTTAATTTACAGCATTTTTTTCCTAAAGCTTTTACATAGCACTGTATATACCTGTAAATACTGAGATTGGTTTTAATCGGAGTTGCTTATATCAGTAATGAACAAGTTCTGTGAAAGATTTATATAAAAGACTGATTTATATCAACTGTGTGTGAGTATTTTCTCCCAATACAAGGTACCTCATTCAGACCCCAACTCCATGCTATTTATATAATTTAATAGGATTCTGTCCAAAAGCAGTTGGTTGGGCTAACGACATCATGTTGTTATTTAACCGTTTCAATACCGTGCAATTTTACATCTTCCTGCCCAGGCCATTTTTCAGGTTTCAGCGCTCTCACACTTTGAGTGACAATGGCGCGGTCATACAACACTGTACCCAAACTAAAATTTTATCATTTTCTTCACACAACCAGTGCTTTCTTTTGGTGGTATTTAATCACCGCTGGGGTTTTTATTTTTTGCTAAATTAACAAAAAAAGACCAAAAATTTTGAAAAAAAAAAACACATTTTTCTTTGTTTCTGTTATAAAAGTTTACAAATAAAATAATTGTTCTTCATAAATTTAGGCCGAGATGTATTCTGCTACATGTCTTTGGTGAAAATAACCCAAATTAGGATGTATTATATAGTCTGTAGGAAAGTTATAGAGTTCACAAACTATGGGATAGATCTGAATATTGATCAATCCTGAAGTACTGACAGCCAATCTAATATCTTGAGGTCCAAGAAAGTCAGAATAGTACAGATATCCCCCAAATGACCCCTTTTTGCAGAGTAGACAGTCCGACGTACTTCATAAGAGGCATGGCGAGTTTTTTGAAGTTGTATTTTTTTGTCATAATTTTTCGGAAAATGACAAAAAATTAAAAAAATTATTTTCACTATTTTTTTTTACATACTGTCACCAGTGCAGTACAGCGTCATCATATAACTGGCATGGCGGTGAACAGTGACACTGACTGGTGACAGTATGAAAAAAATATATATATATTTTTTTTTTTTTTTTTTTTTTTTATTATATTTCATTTTTTATTACTTTTTTTTTTTTTTTTTTAAGATTTTTTTTTCATATTATATACTATGCCTAAAGTAGTACAATGTTACCATAGTAACATTGTACTACTTTGGGGAAGTGATCAGTATTTTTTTTTTTTTTTTTTTTTTTACACAATTTGCTTATAGCAAAGAATTACTTTGCTATAAACAAGCATTTACCTGAATGAAATCGATTCATTCAGTTTTTTTTTTTTTTTTTGTGCTTAGCTGTGATTTGGTCACAGCTAATCACATGACATGTGCATGTGATTAGCTGTGACCATTCACAACTAGGCACTAGTATAACAATGGATGGCATCATGAATGAAGCCATCCATTGAATACAACTGTCATGTGACCTGCTGTGATTGGTCACAGCAGGTCACATGGTACCAGCAACGGGAGCCGGTACTCGGATCTGTCATCGGCCGTGTCCGAGGTGCACAGACGGTGACAGATCGCACTGCTGCGCCGCTCTGCATTAGCGCAAAAACCGCGCATGTGTGGGAGCACGCCAAATGGCGTGCACCCGGAATACAGGAGCACATTTGAAGCCGCCAAACGGCCATTGGCCGGGCGGCTAATGGTTAATAAGTATGTGTACTTGTGAGCTACTATGTAGTATTAAATAAATAAAAATAAAATAATTCCTATTGTTGTGGTTCACTGACACGTTTTACCAAGGGGCGGACTGAGCATTTGGAAACTCGGGTACTGCCCGAGGGCCAGGGTCAGTAGGGGGCCCCATGAGATGCCCATGGTACCTTTTTCATAGGCTTTTTTGAGTTTGGGCAAGGACACAGGGGCCCCATGATCCCCTATTGCCCGGGGGCCCCATGAGTTGTCAGTCCGCCCCTGCTCTAGTCATCTCCTGTAGTATGTCTGCAGTCTCTGGTCATCTCCTGTACTGTGTCCGCAGTCTCTGGTCATCCCCTGTACTGTGTCCGCAGTCTCCGGTCATCTCCTGTACTATGTCTGCAGTCTCTGGTCATCTCCTGTAGTATGTCCGCAGTCTCCGGTCATCTCCTGTACTGTCCGCAGTCTCCGGTCACCTCCTGTACTGTGTCCGCAGTCTCTGGTCATCTCCTGTACTGTGTCTGCAGTCTCCGGTCATCTCCTGTACTGTGTCTGCAGTCTCTGGTCATCTCCTGTACTGTGTCCGCAGTCTCTGGTCATCTCCTGTACTATGTCCGCAGTCTCTGGTCATCTCCTGTACTGTGTCCGCAGTCTCTGGTCATTTCCTGTACTGTGTCTGCAGTCTCTGGTCATCTCCTGTACTGTGTCCGCAGTCTCTGGTCATCTCCTGTACTATGTCCGCAGTCTCTGGTCATCTCCTGTACTATGTCTGCAGTCTCTGGTCATCTCCTGTAGTTTGTCCGCAGTCTCTGGTCATCTCCTGTACTGTCCGCAGTCTCCGGTCACCTCCTGTACTGTGTCCGCAGTCTCCGGTCATCTCCTGTACTGTGTCCGCAGTCTCTCCGGTCATCTCCTGTACTGTGTCCGCAGTCTCTGGTCATCCCTGTAGTATGTCCGCAGTCTCCGGTCATCTCCTGTACTGTGTCTGCAGTCTCCGGTCATCTCCTGTACTATGTTTGCAGTCTCTGGTCATCTCCTGTACTGTGTCCGCAGTCTCTGGTCATCTCCTGTACTGTGTCCGCAGTCTCTGGTCATATCCTGTACTGTGTCCGCAGTCTCTGGTCATCTCCTGTACTGTGTCCGCAGTCTCTGGTCATCTCCTGTAGTATGTCCGCAGTCTCTGGTCATCTCCTGTACTATGTCCGCAGTCTCTGGTCATCTCCTGTACTGTGTCCGCAGTCTCTGGTCATCTCCTGTACTGTGTCTGCAGTCTCTGGTCATCTCCTGTACTGTGTCTGCAGTCTCTGGTCATCTCCTGTAGTATGTCCGCAGTCTCTGGTCATCTCCTGTACTGTGTCCGCAGTCTCTGGTCATCTCCTGTACTATGTCTGCAGTCTCTGGTCATCTCCTGTAGTATGTCCGCAGTCTCTGGTCATCTCCTGTACTGTCCACAGTCTCCGGTCACCTCCTGTACTGTGTCCGCAGTCTCCGGTCACCTCCTGTACTGTGTCCGCAGTCTCCGGTCATCTCCTGTACTGTGTCCGCAGTCTCGGTCATCTCCTGTACTGTGTCCGCAGTCTCTGGTCATCCCTGCAGTGTGTCTGCAGTCTCTGGTCATCTCCTGTACTGTGTCTGCAGTCTCCGGTCATCTCCTGTACTGTGTCTGCAGTCTCTGGTCATCTCCTGTACTGTGTCCGCAGTCTCTGGTCATCTCCTGTACTGTGTCCGCAGTCTCTGGTCATCTCCTGTAGTATGTCCGCAGTCTCCGGTCATCTCCTGTACTGTATCTGCAGTCTTTGGTCATCTCCTGTAGTATGTCCGCAGTCTCTGGTCATCTCCTGTACTGTGTCCGCAGTCTCTGGTCATCTCCTGTACTATGTCCGCAGTCTCTGGTCATCTCCTGTACTATGTCTGCAGTCTCTGGTCATCTCCTGTACTGTCCGCAGTTTCCGGTCATCTCCTGTACTATGTCTGCAGTCTCTGGTCATCTCCTGTACTGTGTCTGCAGTCTCTGGTCATCTCCTGTACTGTGTCCGCAGTCTCTCCGGTCATCTCCTGTACTGTGTCCGCAGTCTCTGGTCATCTCCTGTACTGTGTCTGCAGTCTCTAGTCATCTCCTGTACTGTGTCCGCAGTCTCTGGTCATCTCCTGTACTGTGTCTGCAGTCTCTGGTCATCTACTGTACTGTGTCCGCAGTCTCCGGTCATCTCCTGCACTGTGTCCGCAGTCTCCGGTCATCTCCTGTACTGTGTCCGCAGTCTCCGGTCATCTCCTGCACTGTGTCCGCAGTCTCGGTCATCTCCTGCACTGTGTCCGCAGTCTCCGGTCATCAAGGGTTTTTTGAGTTTGGGCAAGAACACAGGGGCCCCATGATCCCCTATTGCCCGGGGGCCCCATGAGTTGTCAGTCCACCACTGCTTTTTACACATACCCATATAACTGTGCGAAAGTGATTAATATATACTTTTATATGTGTCTCGCTCCACTGTGAATAAATTATTACTTTAGTGAAAATATATGTATTTATAACACCATTAAATAAATAAATAATTAAATACCTGTGCCACATTTTCAAATATATTAATGTGCAATTAGTGCTCAAATAAATTAATATACTCAAAATTTATACGATATAATCATGTCTAAATAAAAAATCAATGCAATAAATATTAAATTCACAATATAGTGTCCAAATCAATAAATCAAACAATTCCAATTGTAGTCCACTCCCTGATTGTAATCAGAATATATCCAGCTAATTTATTTTAAATTGAGGTGAGCGCATAAATTAGCTGGATATATTCTGATTACAACCAGGGAGTGGACTACAATTGGAATTGTATGATTTATTGATTTGGACACTATATTGTGAATGTAATATTTATTGCATTGATTTTTTATTTAGACATAATTATATCTTATTAATTTTGAGTATATTAATTTATTTGAGCACTAATTGCACATTAATATATTTTAATTATTTATTTATTTAACGGTGTTATAAATACATATATTTTCACTAAAGTAATAATTTATTCACAGTGAAGCGAGACACGTATAAAAGTATATATTAATCATGTTTTTATTTACCTTGACTTTTGGCCAGAAGGACTGTTTGCATTTTGTGTTTAGATTTTCTGCCAAAATGCAATTCATAAGAAAGGAAATGTTTTTTTTCCAAAGAATTTCCTTATAAACTAGAAGTGTCCAATTGGGATTGCAAAAAATGTAGAAATTCTTTCTCAATACATGATGCAACATTCTTATTCATTGGCTTCAAGACAGAATGTCAATTGGCTGATGTGCAACGCAAGCATATTTGAACCCTCTTGTGCCCCAAATGCATTAACCATTTATGGACACTGACCATGCTCCAAATCCTCCCCCCACCCCCCCAAAAAAAAAAAAAACGAATGGTATTTACAAGCAATTTATTTAGTATCACAGGAGTAGATCGGTCTGTTGTTACTATTGTTTCTTTGTCTCTTCTCTGGTTCTTTTATAACAGATCTAAGGGGTCGCCTTTGCATTGCATATGATATCCGTCATTTACTGTATTTGTACCTCATTTAACCCCTTGACCTCCAGAGGATTTCTCCCCCTTCCTGACCAGGCCATTTTTTGCGACACGGCGCTGCGTTACTTTAACTGACATTTGCGCGGTCATGCAACGCTGCACCCAAATTAAATTTATGTCCTTTTTTTCCCCCCCACAAATAGAGCTTGACGGATCCACTGTTCACTTCTCTCTTAACAAAACATAACCTTAAATAACTACTCCGACAACATAAGTTCCTTCGACTGGGTTTATACTTTATTAACCACTTGCTGACCGCAGGTAGCCAAATGACGGCTTTACCGCGGCCGGCCAGTTCTGGGAGGGTGTCATATGACGTCCTCCCAGAACGAACCCTCCCATGCGCCTCCGGGGGAGCGCACCCGGTGATCTCCATGATCGCTGTGTCCTACAGACACAGCTGATCACGTGATATAGTAAAAGGCCAATCACAGCAGCCTTTTAACATGTGATCAGACGTGTCCAATGACACAGCTGATCACAGGTAAATACAGTTGCTGGTTATTGGCTGCACTTTCCTCACGCTGTCACCAGGGGCGGACTGACAACTCTTGGGGCCCCCGGCAATAGGGGTTCATGGGGCCCCTGTGTCCTTGCCCAAACTCAAAAAAGCCTATGAAAAAGGTACCAGGGGCATCTCATGGGGCCCCCTTCTGACCCCGGGCCCTTGGGCAGTGCCCGAGTTTCCAAATGGTCAGTCCGCCCCTGGCTGTCACAGCATGAGGAAAGTACTGCCGTTAACCGGCAATTCTCAGAGGATGGATCGGCACCGATCATCAGGGCATGGATGATCAGTGCCCTGATGATCAATGCCTAGCAGTGCCATCCAACCGTGCTGCTCGCAAGTGTCCATCAGGGCCACCTACCTGTGCCCATTAGTGCCCATCAGTGCCATTCACTTGTGTCCATCAGTGCCTAGTAGTGCCATCCACCTGTGCCCAGCAGTGCCACCCAGCTGTGCCCAGCAGTGCCTAGTAGTGCCACCCACCAGTGCCACCCATCAGTTCCCAGCAGTACTGTCAGGCAGCACTGATGAGCACTGATGGGTGGCACTGACTATCAGAGCCCATCATTTAAGCATATCAGCGCCGCCTCATCAGTATTAGCTCATCAGTGTAACCTATCAGTGCCCATCAGTACTGCCTATCCCTGCCACCTCATCAGTGCTGCCACCTATCAGTGCCCATCAGTGCCACCTATCAGTCCAGCCTCATCAACGCACATCAGTGAAGGAGAAAAATTACCTGTTTGCAAAATTTTATAATAGAAACAAAGAAAAACTTGTTTTCTCAAATTTTTAGTTTTTTTGTTTATAGCACAAAAAATAAAACACCCAGCGGCGAGTAAATACCATCAAAAGAAAGCTCTGTTTTTGCGAGAAAAAAAAATGATACAAATTTCATATGGGTAAAATGTTGCATGACTGTGCAATTGTCATTCAAAATGGGACAGCGCTGAAAGCTGCCTAGCAACAAGAAAAAAAAACGCAAAATGCGTCAAAACGCAAAATTCAACACGCAATGCAGGAACACCTCAAATGCAACCTGCATAGGTGTGAACCTAGTTTTACTCCTGACAATTGCAGCAATATCACATATGTATATGTTATTTGTTGTTTGTACCCATAGTAGGTCCAGGAAATAATAGTGTGTATTTTGATTTTTTTAATCCTACCTAAGGCTAGGTTCACACCTATGCAGGTTGCATTTGACCCGTTTCAGCCTTGCATTTTTGATTTTTGCACCTGCGTTTTTGATGCATTTTGCGTTTTTTTTTTTTTCCATTTTTCTTGCTCCTAGGTAGCTTTAAAAATGCAAAACGCATCAACAAATGCGGCAAAATAAATAAAAAATGCAGCAAAAACGCAATACATGCTTTTCTGCAGCATTTCCATTGCAGTCTATAGAACCAAACAAGCAACGTTTTGAGTTAAAAAAAAGTCCCTGACCCCTTCCAAAAAACGCACTGGGTGAAAACACGGAGATGTAAACATGTCCCATAGGAAATCATGTTAAATGGACTGTACTGCGTTTCTGCAAACCGCTGCAGAAAACGCTTAGGTGTGAACCTAGGGTAAAACACACTGGCACTAACTGACACTGATACTAAATAAAAAAAAGAAAAACACCCATCTCTTCAGGTAAGTCTATCACGCCAAACGTCTGAATTTTTATTTCTACCATCAGATCATCCCCCATAATTTAGGCAACTGGCCCCCACCATATTAGAAGTTAGAAGCTGATTGGTGACCATCTACGGCAGCATCAGATTTTGTACTCTCCAGTTTTAGTAAGTCAACACCATTGTTTGCTTTGATACATGTTCCCTGGAGCAGTGCCCGGCCTCCCATGTCATTTGATTGATAGTATGCTGCCTATTAGTCTAGACAATGGCCATTACTGTTTTGTTAGACTTTGGCTGCCATTGATCTCAATGGAGTTTGGATTTTGCATCCAATCACAGACACATAGACGTGGCAGCAGAGAAAAGACCAAGTGATCCATCAAGTCAGCCTTCTCTTTTTTTTCCAAACATAAATGTAAGCATATTTGAATCCACTTACTGTGGACTGACTCACTCACTACCTTTGCTGGAAGTCTATTCCAAGCATCAGCTACTCTTTTGGTAAAATACCACTTTCTAGGTTGGGTTTGAACAGTAAGGACACTAGAAAAAATCATGGATTTTATAGGCACAGAAAGACAAGTGTATAAAAAAACATTATAAGTTAATTAACCAACTTTCTGTCCCTACAAATATTGTTCTATAATTAGGAGGTTGCCCATTTTACTGCACTGCCATCCAACAGTTGCCCATTTTACCGCACTATCATCCAACGGTTGTCCATTTTACCGCACTATCATCCAACGGTTGCCCATTTTACCGCAGTACCATCCAACGGTTGCCCAATTTAGCGCACTAAAATCAAACGCTGCCCATTTTGCCGCACTACCATTCAACGGTTGCCCATCTTACCACACTACCATCCAACGGTTGCCCATCTTACCACACTACCATCCAACGGTTGCCCATCTTACCACACTGCCATCCAACAGTTGCCCATCTTACTGCACTACCATCTAACGGTTTCCCATTTTACTGCACTACCATCAAACGTTGCCCATTTTACCACACTACCATCCAACGGTTGCCCATTTTACCGCACTACCATCCAACAGTTGCCCATCTTACCACACTGCCATCCAACGGTTGCCCATGTTACTGCACTACCATCTAACGGTTTCCCATTTTATCGCACTACCATCCAACGGTTGCCCGTAGGACAATTTTCTAGTTTTGAACTTTCCTCCTGCTAATTTCAGTTCATGTTCCCATGTTCTTTATCTTAACTTCATTTTGAAAATACTTCCCTTCTGAACCTTGTTCCTACCCTAATGTCTTTACCCCACACTAGCATCCAACGGTTGCCCAT